TATAGTATAAATTAGATCCAGGAAGTCACGCACCAGATGATCTCATAATCTATTTTATTTCTACACGTTAGAAACTCCCTACCACCCTCCTTGAAACTTAATTTTTAGTCATGAGCATTTATTTTATTATTAAGATTTATTTATTTATTTGAAAGGTAGAGCAACAGAGGTGTGTGTGAGAGAGAGAGAGAGAGAGAGAGAGAGACAGAGACAGAGAGACAGAGAGAGACAGAGAGAATCTTCCACCCACTGGTTTACTCCCCAAAGGGCCACAATGGCTTGGGGTGGGATAGACTGAAGTTAGGAGAGAGAAACTCCATCAGATCTCCTATTTAGGTGACAGGTGACAGGGGCACAAATATTTGGGCCATCTTCCTCTGCTTTCCCAGGCGAGTTAACATGGAACTGGATGGGAAGTGGAGCTGTCAGAACTGGAACCAGCATTCTGATTATGGGATTCCGGTGTCACAATCGATGGCTTTACCCACTGAAACCACAATCAGCCCGTGTTGAGCATCTCTTAGTTCTGTAGCTATACTGCAAACATTTCTACCTACATTTTACAACAATGTTTCCCTTTGACTTTGTACAGCTTTCTCAGTAGCCTCCCTCAGGGGACAGATTTTAAGAATTAAGTTTGTCCATGTTCTCTCATTCAGTCATTGACCACTCTACTAGTTTTATGCAGTCAAGCGCATATCTGTTCATTTCTTTCTTATGACTCAAACTCTTACAATGCATTTCTCTGTTTTTAGGATCAAGACCACAATTTTTAATAGGATCTCTTTCATAATCTATCTCTTAGTTCACTCACTTCCTATGCCCTTATGTTCTACATCCTTTCTCTCTTACAGATGTTTGTGTAACTTAACCCTTTGTGGTTCATCTTAAAGACAACCAACCTCACTTTTTAAAATCTTTTTGAATTTTAAATTTCTTTTATTTTTATTTGAGAGAGAGAGAGAGAGAGAGAGAGAGAGGACATAGAGGGATCTTCCATCTACTGATTCACTTCCCCCAAAGCCTACAATAGATAGGGCTGGACAAGGCCAAAATCAAGAGCCTGGCACTGCAAACAGGGCTCTCAAATGGGTAACAAGAATCCGAGTACTTAAGCAATCATCTGCTGCTTCCCAGGAAGCTGGATGGGAGTGGAGTGGCCAAAACTGAAACCAGGTAATCCGATGCTATGCTGGTATCCTAAGGAAGGATTTAAAGTGGCACCAAATGTCTGCCCTAAAGGTATCTTCTGTAAAGTCTTTAAAACTCCACACCTGATAGATATGCTCTCCCTACCACTATAAAGATAGCAGGTATTCAGTAAATATTCATTTCCAAGTGATCTTGGTATGCATTTTCTAGATGCTACTGATGAGGTCTCTGTTTGCAAAGAAATCTATTGCTAGATAGAATTAAGTTAATGTACATCTATTAAAATATACAATGGCAAGAAATCTGTGCTTTTAGCTCTGTGAGTTATGTAACTAGAGTGCTGCAACTGTAAACCTTGAAAAGCTTACATTTCAAAGAGGATGAGCATTACAAAGAATAAGTTTGCAGTAAAATGTGAGAGAATCTCACTGCAACAGGAAGGGAAAGAGAAGACTGTGGCCGACGCCGCGGCTCACTAGGCTAATACTCCACCTTGCGGTGCCAGCACACTGGGTTCTAGTCCCGGTTGAGGCGCCGGATTCTGTCCCGGTTGCCCCTCTTCCAGGCCAGCTCTCTGCTGTGGAGGGTGGCCCAAGTCCTTGGGCCCTACACCCCATGGGAGACCAGGAGAAGCACCTGGCTCCTGCCATCGGATCAGCGCAGTGCGCCAGCTGCAGCACAGCTGCCTGGAGGGTGAACCAACGGCAAAAGGAAGACCTTTCTCTCTGTCTCTCTCTCTCACTGTCCACTCTGCCTGTCAAAAAAAAAAAAGAAGAGAAGACTGTACAACTTCTCGATGTGTTGTTCCTGTAAACAACAGTATGCATATATGTAATACAGCCCCCATGAGTGCGTTTTGTTCTCTCTGGCAAATCAAGGGAAAAGGTTTTCCCTGAGGACTTTCCAGCACAGGTAGTAAGTATAGAGAATTGGCTTGGCATTTGCAGCAGACACTGCTCTAATTGCAAAACTTGAGCACCCTAGTGGAACGTAAATTTGTGTTGACTCTCATTCCCCACAATAGGCATCTCTAATTATTTATTTCCATTCACTTTTTCATCATTGTTTCTGTTTACTAATTTTTAATTATACTAAGAAATAAAAAATGCAGATGTTTTTAAAAAATAGTGATGTAATTGTTCTCCCTTTCACCACAAATGAAAATGCAGTGCTTGCTTTATAGGGGGCTTAATGACTCAGAACGCAGCCCCCTCTTTTCTTTCGATTCCAGGGTATCTTCGTGCTTGGAGGACCTGTCAAACTCAATTGCAGGAGGATGAAATGTTTCCAGTTAAAGCCTATGAGTAATGGTGTTGCCATGGCCCTTCTGAATGTAAATCTGTTAAAAATCAACTGTACATATGTTCTTACAGACACTTGTCACATGAATATCAAATAGGGAATGTGACTGGATAATGCTTAATTATTACAATAAAATATTAGAATAAACATGTTTTGATTTATACATAACAATTTCCTTTTTATTTTTTGTAGTTTGATAATAACTCAGAGGCTCATTCACTTGAGGGGAGTCACATAAGCCCAGTGGCTTCCCCAGGATTCTGCCTTGGGCCTACTGCCCTGACATCATTATCAATACCTCTCACTTCCATTCGCCAAGTGTCAGAGTTTGAGTGATGAACACTGCAGCCGACTGCATTATAATGCCTACAGATTTCATTCCCTCCCTCCCAAATCTTCGATGGCCTTGGAGTTAGATACTTTCAGTGATAGAATTGGAAAATGGCAGCATGGAGATTGCTTCTCTTGAAAGCCTTGGGTTTTTCCTGGATGTCAACCTGGGCTTCTAACCTCTCATTTGCTAGTAAATGATTCTCTCTCGATGGCACAGTAACAATTTGCTTAGACTCTGCTGACTGATCAGCCACTCCCAGAGCTTTCAAGGAAGAAGTAGAATGGCATGCTGTATAGGATATTGTGTCATGATTTATTCCTTTACTACAGGGATACAACAGGACACTGACACAAATCCAGATTTTACTAGCCATACAAGTTAATTCAGGGATAGACATTTAGCTTAGTGGTCAATGTGCCAGTTAAGATGCCCCCCCAACCACATTTGGGTGCCTAAGTTAAAATTCCAGCTCAGGCCCTTGGATTCCAGTCTCCAGCTAGTGTAGACTTCCAGAGGTAGAGGTGGTGGCTCAAGTAATCGGGATACTGCTGTGCAGATGACAGATATGCATTGGGTTCTCATCTCCTGGTTTTGGCCCCAGTCAGAGTCTATTGTGGGCATTTGGGGAGTGAACAAGCTAATGTGAGCGCTTTTCAAATAAGTAAACTCAATCCAAAATACAATCAGGCACTCAGAAACATATTCGAATAAAATTTGTTTCTCATTTACTCATGTGAGATTCTTTCATATGTATGTGATTGAGTTTGCAGATAATTCTGGCCATATTTTGTTCTGAACCATCAAACTTTAACCTTTCTCTAATCTAATTAAATTATAAAGTGATTTGTTAAATTAATTTGATGCTTGTTAAGTTGATTAATTACAAATTTATTGCATTTATCTAATATTTATGAGTCTATTCTGATTTGATGAGTATTTTAATCAAAATATAGTCTTTAGTAATAGGAAAAAAAAGTTCATAACAGTCTCATCTGAGAATCATCAAACGAGCCACCAGCATCTGAAATTTCTATTCTGCAGAAGTATTCAGCAATGATACAGTTATATCTGACCTGCACAGGTGTGCTATTTTAATTTTCATGGTTTTAAATACATTTTTAAAAACAACGATTCTTAGATCATGTGAACCTTTGTATGACAACCTTGTTTGCTGACATGAAGAATCAAATAATCTCAGAACACCACGCAGTGTTCTACGGCCATCTCGATCCACAAAGAACTCAGTTTTCTGAGACCAAAACAGTCATCCACTTGCTGCCTTCTCACATATTTGTGTTATTTTATTTTGTTGACACTGCTCTTGAAAACCAAGCACAGGGCTTAATTTCAAAGGAAAATGCAAGTGTCCTTATCAGAGAATACTCATACATCCTTTAAATATCAGTCAATATCTTAGGTCATATTTTGATAAAGGAGAAAGTAAAGAGGGACTAAGGATTTTGTGACCTCACAGGAAGAGAATCCATTGGGAGCAAAGCCTGGTATCAGAAACTGTAGGAGCATTAACTGGAAGGAGATTAGCAGTTCAGTGAGTGTCAGCTGGGCTTTAAGACAATAAACAATGAAAATAACAACAATGTACAATGCTTTGGCTTTGTCACTTTCCACTGGACGATCACCAAAGCTGACAATTTTTTTTTAAAATGACTGGTTGAGGAGCTGCCCTTCATCATTCAAAGGGTATCACATCCTCTCTGCAAAATGGGCATCTTGTCAGATAGAAACCAAACCCATACTAAAGCAAGTGTTGTATGGCTTGTACTCCCTGGCTAGAGGATTCAAACTTCAAAGTGCATCATTTTAGAATTTTACCTTGTCAGCTATGATAACAAACAAACATGTCCCCTACCCCCACCTGCCCTTGGACCTTTTAGACGTTGATGCTGAAGAGCCATAAAGGAACACTTCAAAAATTACTTTTTGGTGAAGGAAAATGTCTCTTCAGTTATGCGGTCACATAAACATAAGATATTGGTGAACATAGATCTACTTGATTATATTTATATAGTTTGTTGTGCTGTATCTGCTTTGTTCTATATTGAAATATTTTTCTATAAACAGATAAAAGCATAATTTATCTCTTAATACCAAAACATGCACATTTAGTTTGACACAGAAGTAATTAAAATGCTACCAGGAGTGAGAAAGTGTTTCTGCAGTGTATTTCTCAGAGCCAACCTACACACATTACCTTTGTTGCAGCATCGAAGCAGATGAATCCTGTGCTGAAGTCAATGGTGAGTCCCATTAGATGACTTTCCAGCACACAGGCATATGTCTTACACTAGTCAGAGGAGAAAATACAGTTACCACTGTGCACAGAATTGACGTCAATATCATGAACTATGTGAATACACTATATAATAATTAATATCAGTAATAACTGCATGAAGAACATGATGTTGTCAGCATTTTAATATCAGCAAAAGAGACATGAAGAGTGCTTTTTAAAAAATTCCTCATGGATCCTCAGAGCCAGATTCCCAATCCTGCTCCCTCTCACCTGGTCTGCATCTTCTGCTGCATGTTGCCCTGTGCTATGTGGGCGGTAACACTGGTATAAACTTTTGTTTATAGGTGTAGGTAGGGTGTTGTTATATCCTGTAATCAAATATCACTGCTGCACTAAACCAAAAGAAAAGTATTTGAAGGATTAGCATCTTACTTAACTTCTCAGCACAGTAACAACATGGATATTGTTAGAATTCTGAGGCATCAAACACAGATTCAGTAACAAAGGCAAAAGAATGGATGTTACGGTTTCCATGTGTACTTCCACAGGGCACAAGCTAATCCCCACACATGTTCCACTTTCATATTTATTTATGTGAACACTCATTTTAAAAAAAGTCAGTAATGACTTTTCACACTGAGATTCGATTATATTAAAATTTTACTCCCATATTCTGAAAAGACTAATAAGCACTGGTACTAAGATATTTTTGCAAGGCATGAAACAGATATGAAGTAAAAACTTGAGACTTACATATAACATGTCAAATTGTTGTATCTATAGATCAGTTGTTTTTGTTTTTAATTTCAAACCGCAGTAGGACATTGGAATGACGAAAAGTGCTTTTATTTTACATATGAAATGAGTGAGAAAAGGAGCATCTCTATTTCTCAAGCAAATGTTCAATTAAATAAACTAATAAATGATTGTTTATTAAATTGTTTATTATTAGATTTATTAAATTGAAAATTCAATCAAATAAACTAGTGCTTATACTTATTTTACAATACTGTAGACAAAGCACACTAAATGACTCTTACGATAGTAACTGTAGTTAAATATTCTAATTGTCTTCACCAGAAATCTTTATTCATGTGTTTGAGCTTACATTGAACAGGAAAATTATAAACATACTAAATATTCATTAGGAGTTACATTTCTCAGAAAAGCAGATAAGAGCATACTTAATATTATTCAAAAGTCCATTTTGGTAAATAACCACGTTTGTCTAATACATGGACATCTTATATGCTTGCATCTGTTCATTAGTATTTTATGGAAACTACTCTCAGCATTAAGGAATGTTGAAGGCTATATCTTTTCCACCTAATTTATACTTGCTGGTTTGCTATTTCAAGTACCATCATTTAAAAAAGGATGTTCCTGATGAAAACACATTCAGGTCAGCATAACTAAAATGTTCCCATTAAATTCAGCATTGCGAATTAAATTGCATTGTCTCAATAATCACCAAGAAGAAACAAACAGATACACTAAAAATTGAGACCATGGAAGCAAAATTTTACAAATTATGTGAATGAACATATATTATGAGTATATTTAATATGTTTCAATATTAAAATTGCCGATGTATTGTTTAATTTCTATGTGTATGTAACAAAAATTTGAGTTATAGACAGTAAAAATCAATAAATAAAATTATCCCTTTTAAGAATGCTCAAACAAGAAACACATTGGAACATTTTTGGAGATATATATATGTGTTAAACAAGATTTGAAGATAAATCATAGACAAACTACATTTAAAATTATCTTTTGGAAGACAGGGAAATGCCTGTAGCCAGATAAAACACACATGTTCAAAACAATAATTATGTGAAAAAAATTTTGAAGGTGAGAAACTTTTTCATTAAAAGTTCTATATTCAAATTGAATTAGTGTGAGATTTCATTTTAAAAAAAAGCAACTGCCCTTTAAAACTTTTACTTATTTACTCTAGGAAAAGTATAAAGATATTAAAAGTCTTTAAATATAAGGCCTTATTCTTGCTACCAGAGAAATATAATATTTCATTTATATAAATTATAACCTAATACTTCAACAATCACTACATTTTCCAATCTTTAAAATGTTACTATACGTGACAATATGCTATGTTTTAGAAATTCATGCTTTCCATGGATCACCTCTTTAGGTAAATACGTAGATATTTATACTAAGACTAAGTACATTAGAAATTAGAAAAGATTTGAAAATCTATAAAGTAATAAAATGGAAGCTACCTCATGTTCATATATAGCCCTATTAATGAAAAGTGTCAATTTCACTCCTGTAGATTAGCTTTCAGGTACTCTATTTGCTACTACAGATCAGGGAGAACATACGTTATTTGTCTTTTTGGAACTGGCTTATTTCACTAAATATAATGGTTTTAAAAATTTAAATCCTCTCATTTGCAACAAAAGGGGTGCAACTGGTATCCATTTTGTAAACCCTCTATAGAGGCTGGAGTTTTATGAAGTTGGTTGAGATATGATATCATACTTATGAACCTAAGTGCAAGAAATATCTGTTGGGAGATTACAAGATGCACTGGACTTCAATTGGAACATGAATAAGGTAATACCAAGCAATCTATAGTTTAATGTGGGGCATGATGAGCTCATGCCACCCCAGTAAAAGACAGAATGAGTGTGAGAAATTCTAAGTAAACAAGAAAAAATGATACTATATTAAGAGTGGGAAAGGAAAGAGTTTGAAGAGGATTGTTGTGGAAGATATGGTGGTAATCAGTGGACAGGGTAGTATGAAATCAGGAAAATGTGGATGATACAACCTTTGGAAAAAAAAGCTTTAAAAATTGTGTATGGTGGGGCCGGCGCTATGGTGCAGCGAGTTAAAACTCTGGCCTGAAGCACTGGCATCCCATATGGGTGCCAGTTCTAGTCCTGACTGCTCCTCTTCCAATCCAGCTCTGTGCTATGGCCTGGGAAAACAGTAGAAAATGGCCCTAGTACTTGTACCCCTGCACCTACATGGGAGACCCGGAAGAAGCTCCTGGCTCCTGGCTCCTGGCTTCAGATAGATGCAGCTCATGACATTGCCATCTGGGAAGTGAACCAGTAGATGGAAGACCTCAATCTCTCTTTCTCTCCTTCTCTCCTTCTGTAACTCTTTTTTTTTTTTTTTTAAACAGGCAGAGTAGACAGTGAGAGAGACAGAGAGAAAGGTCTTCCTTTTCCATTGGTTCACCCCCAATGGCCGCTGCGGCCAGTGCACTGTGGCGGGTGCACTGTGCTGATCCGAAGGCAGGAGCCAGGTGCATCTCCTGGTCTCCCATGCGGGTGTAGGACCCAAGGACATAGGCCATCCTCCACTGCACTCTAGGGCCACAGCAGAGAGCTGGACTAGAAGAGGAGCAACCAGGACAGAATCCAGCACCCCGACCGGGACTAGAACCTGGTGTGCCAGAGCTGCAGGCAGAGGATTAGCCTATTGAGCCGTGGCACCGGCCCTGTAACTCAAAAATAAATCTCTAAAAAAAAAAAAAAATTCTGTATGGTTGTGAAGGGCAGAGACAAAAGGAATTATCTAGAAGAAAGATTGTTGTGAGTTAACGAAGGAAGGCGGCTCAAAATTAAGAGGTGATGTATGGAGAACAGGAAACGAACAATTAGCCAGTTAATTAAAATCAGAGCATGTCTATGCTAAATTCAAATTAGAGCAGTGTCTTTTTTATCAAAATTGGAAATATATTTTGTTGAGTTTTGACAAAGGTTAGAAAGATTGAATAGTGGAAAAGTTAAAATGTTATTCAAAGCTACTTTGCTGGTCATTTGTTGGCAGTGGTTAACTACTGGACTATCTGAGAAGGAGACCCACAATCTTTATACCACTTTGAATTTGAATGAACTTTAATTTAAATAGGGGAGTGGCCTTGCCTCACTGGGCATCCCAGATCCTTCATTCAGGACTCTCACCTGTATCCGTTCCACTTCTAGAAAGGTTGCTGTTTGGAAGGCTCTTTCCCACTGTGCAAGGTCGCAGTCTAACTCTACGGAGAAGTAGAGGTCCTCCCCAGACTCGGACTGCACGGTGAAGCAGTGTTTCCGCCGGTCCAGCAGGTCACTGTCCTGGTGGAAAGCCAGAGTTACACAGGCAGGCATACATGGATCCACGCTGCCAGTGTGGTCAGATCTCGAACTAACCACAAGCAGTACATGGCATATGCTGCACAGAGATAGCGCTCAATGACTTTGGTAAGTCTTCCTTAAAGGTGGTCCCAGCAATCAAAAACTCCAGAAATCAAACACCATAACTAACAGATAACTTCTCTGTTTTCACATGGAGGCATGACTCTACAGTGGAAATTAGGATTTTTGACTCCCACCCTCTCTAGAACATAACTGCCAAGGATTAAAAACGTGAAACCCATTAATTACTGGATGACTGGATGATACACACATTTCCCTCTTTACAGAGCCATTAATGTGTTGATATTAAGTACTGCTAGGATCTTGCCTCAACATTTTAAAGTGTCTTATAAACATGTTAAGTTCTTATTGAATTAATTTGTAGCACCCTTAAAGAATCATGAAAAGCTTCTCACTGCGAATCAGAAAAAAATGAGTGTAATGTGCAACAGCAATGATACAGCTTTAAAAAATGCGGGAACACAGTTAATTCACATTAATTCATGTCTGAAAGTGTATGTCAGTGAGTCATAAGACTGATACTGGCAATGACTTTTTACCAAAAATCTTCAACGGAGGTGTCCATGCGTTCATGTGCATTCCTATTTCAGAGATGTTAAATGTGAATAAGAGTGCAGCTAAGAAATAGGATAACCAAGTGAAATTTGTTAAATATAGACTTTGAAATACACACACATATGTATACATACGTAGTATATTGAAAATTATCAAAAGATTAATAATTGAAAACTTTGATGATTTCATATATAGTCATATAAATGTATCATCATTAAACACCAGTGTCAGATGGAATTCTCTCCTTTGGTAAGTTCTTTAAAAATCGTAACTATTTTTCTTGTTTCTCACTTGGATGCTCATAACTGCTAGAGGAGAGCTAAAGAAAGGCAGCTACTTCCAGGGCTATAGAATTGAGCTCTGACACTTGCAGCCAGTAGATGCTCACAAAGTTAAAGACGATGCCTTCTGTGGCATTTATTGATGTCCTGGTCTGAAGGAGAAAAGATGAGAATATAATATTGTGTGAGTACAGTCCAAAGATAAAACAGGTTCTACAGAACTTTACCTTAATTTGGAACTGTAATATCTAGGGAGGATGACAATGACAGATACTGCTAAATAATCACACAAATAAATATGCTAGTACAAATTATGATAACTGCCAGAATGTGGTACAACATAACTATAGGTTGGGAAGCAGAGAAATGCCATCTAGGAAGTGCATGTTAAACAGTGGCTGACTGATGAAAAAGTAGAGCTAAAGGTGGAAACTCAGTGTGTTCCTTCCAGAGAGAGAGGATCAGACTTTCAGAGGCTTGAGGCAAGAGTGAGTAGCATATTCCAGAAACCAAAGTCGGACATGTTGAAAGCAGAGGTAGGGAAAAGAGATGGCGTCGCTGGTCAGGTTATGAGTTTGTGGCTTAAGCATGAGTGTCATAATGATCCATGTATCAAAATTTCAGTTGTATCATCTATTCACACTGAAAACAGCTTGACATCTACATTTTTATTTTTTTGGAATTAATAATATTGGCTCATAAATTAAGATTAAGAATGTTCATAATTTTCAGATACTTTGCCAATTGTACAATTTATTAAATTGGCCTTCACTTTCCTTGCAATATAAAATGCTAATCAAGGTCATCACTAGCCAGACGATCCTGCTTTTTTTTTCATTCTTATAAATTTCATGTTGCAATAGAATCTTGAAATGACCTTCCTGGATTTTCTACTCTCTTGGCAGAAGTTAACTCCTTGGCAAAAGTTAACTCCTTTATTTTTTTCAACTCAAATTAGTATCTCGCATTTTTTTACCTAGACTTAGAAGCTCTCATTGACAAAGGGTACTCCAACAACTGTGCAAATAATAGTTTCAACATCTTTGCACATTTTGTCATGTGCTGTTATTTATTTATAAAGCTTTGCTCATGTGCTGACTCTTGCAACTCTAGCAATATGACCTAAAAACCATGGACATCTATGTGCTCTGGACTCAATTGAGTGAGAGAGACAAACACGTAAAAGGATGAAAAACATTACAACGGTGACACAGAGGTAGAGTCAAAAGGAAACAGAAAATGGGCAATAAATCTCTCTAGGGAGAATGTAGGAAGGGGAATCATTTGTTCTAGGGAAGTCTGTAGCATCATTAAGTCCTTAGGAGACGCAAGAACAAGCGGTTGCCAGCCTGAATAAACTGGATGATTTGTCTAAAAAATCCCAGTAATTCAATCTGGAAAAGCCACAGGAGGGATCAGGTAAGAAGGCAGGGCTGACTCTGCTTTAGAGAGTCAGGTGTGGGCTGGTGAGGAAAAAAAAAAAAAACTTCATGGAAAGTGTCAAGTTGGGATCTTTTTTAGAGAAAAGTGACTGGAGCCCAAACATTATAAAACTCTGCTCTCAGAACAGTCATCTGAAATAATTGACTCTGGAATCCCCCTTTCAGAGTTTTCTACTTTGCTATCTATGCCAATTCACAGATACTCTTTCTTTTCCTTCTTTGTTTGAAGTAATTGCAGTTGTGGTTAAGTTATATGCAAGTAATAATGGAAAATCCTAAAAAAAGATTTGTGTAAATAGAAACTGACATTGACTAGAAGCAATAGTAGCAAGAGGAGTATACATGTAAGAATAGAGAAGACATAGTATGGGTAGGTAGGTAGATCATAGATAGGTTATGGATAGATAGGTAGATACACAGATAATAGAGGATGGATGAGTGGATGGATGGATAAATAAACAGTCTCTGGACAGATGACAAATTGATGATGATGATGATGATGATAGATAGATAGATAATGAATGCATAGATAAATACATAAATGATGGATGGTAGATAAATAGATGCAGCAGAGTCAAATATTTTCTATCTCCCTCCTCTGGCTCTCACAAGGGCGTTTGCCATGGGAGGTCAAAAAAACACAAGCTCTAGCTATAGATTGCTGTCTGGACTTAAATCCAAGGTTTCCCACTTATAAGGCAATCTTGACAAATTAATCACCATATTTATGGCTTTTTTCACTTATCTGTAAAATGGAAATAGTTAATTGATCTGATAATGATGAAATGCATGACTTAGCTTGGGATCCATATACAATAGTTCTTAATGTTAACTGCTTCTGCTATCAATGTTGATAGTCATTAATGTGAATGTGCACATCATTCTCTAGCCTTCCTTCTATGACTTGTCCTTTAAACACATTTCTCTTTCGTTGTACTTTACACAAATTTCTCTCTCTTTGGCTTTTGTCCATGGAGGAAAAAAAGGTCTCCTGATTGCTTTTCCATTCATGGGAAGGCATTGTTTCTTAACTGTCAGTATAATAATGATAGTAAAATGTATCTGGAGTATTATCTTTGTGGATTTTTCTTACTTGAGATTTCTCATTCAGAAATATCCTGTGCTTAATTAGATTCATTCCAAGCATCCCAAACACATTCTGCAGACCACTAATGACACATTGTTTATATCAGGAGTGTTAATACAATATTACAAAGAGACTGCATCAACATATCGTAAATATATTTGCTAATAATGCATATTTTTCTAAAGTATTCAGAAGTCAATAGATATAGCCAAAGCATATTCTTATGAAACACAAATAAATAAGATTCATCTTATGAATAATTATTGATCTTCTAAACATTACCAGCAGGAAGTTTACATTTTTCTTAAATCATATAAAAGGCAATGGTTTTTGAAAAAGCAGTTAAAGTCAGTGAATTATTAATATGTCAGAGTTCTCATTGATGCCTCTATGATTCATTCTATTATTTCAGTACATACTAATGTGACGTGTCACTTGTTCATACTTTCCTAGGTTCACTGATCATCACTCTAATCATGCTTAATTTTTCCTTTAAGTTAATGGCATCTATGAATGTGAGAATGAAAATGAAAAAGGAATGGCCAGAGAAAGGATAACAATGGTTTACATTATTTTGTGAAATATAAATTACCTTCTAAATTATATCACTTCACTGATATGTTTCGAACAATTAATCTACTAAACTTTTTAAAAGATTTTATTTATTTATTTGAGAGGTAGAGTTAGAGACAGTGAGAGGGAGAGACAGACAAAGGTCTTCCATCTGCTGGTTCACTCCCCAAATGGCTGCAACGGCCAGAGCTGAGACGATGTGAAGCCAGGAGCCAGGAGCTTCTTCCACATCTCCTGCATGGCTGCATAGGCCCATGTGCTTAGCCCATCTTCTACTGCTTTCTCAGGCCTTAGCGGAGAGCTGGATCAGAAGAGGAGCATCCAGGATACAAATTGGCATCTGTTCGGGTCGCAGGTGATGCAGGCAGAAGATTTACCTACTGCACCACAGCCATGCCCCCCCTTACTAATTTTTTCACATGATCTTTTACTGAATTACGAAGTTACTCTATCATTAGGCATAAAGTTATTTAGAGCAATAAAATATTGTGATTTTTAACTAGAAGAGGAATGAGCTCAGTAAAGATTCTTCAGTTGTAAGTAATGTTTTTTTGTTTTCTTGTACACATATTTCAAAGGTTAAAATGCAAAGATAAAATCTACTATCAAAATCAATTCTTGCCAAATAATTTAGAAAATAGACTTCTGGGAAAATATTTCAAGTATCTAAGATGGCCGATTAAGTCATCAAGACCCATGGGGGAAAACGGTAGTTTAAATAACCTATTAAAATAATTGATTTTATGAAAATTGTATTCTTGATATTACTATGGACTTAAAACTTGCATATAAACCAAATTATTGTTGGAAATTTTCCTGTCATTGGACTTTGGAAGACATAAAATTGACTCAAAATACTATAAATCTGACACCATACATGATAAGCATAAACAATACTGGAGAAGTATTCAACCAATGTGACCAAGGTGGACAAATCACATTTTAAAATTTAAATGTATTTTTATTTCATTTATTCAAAAG